TTCTTTCTTTCTTTCTTTCTTTCTTTCTTTCTTTCTTTCTTTCTTTCTTCCTTCCTTCCTTCCTTCCTTCCTTCCTCCCTCCCTCCCTTCCTCTTTCTTTCTTTCTTTCTTTCTTTCTTTCTTTCTTTCCTTTTTTGCTTGAAACTGTATTCTAGAACATTTCCATCCTCAGCAGCAAATATGCAGTCATATTTTAAATATCAGCTTAATATACAAACATTTTGCTTAGCCATTACTTCTCCAGGCCATTTAAGTTGCTCCCAATATTTCATTACTGTAAGGAATCTATAATTACCAAGTGGCAGGGACTGCCATTTTCTTTTCAGCATTGTTCTTCTCCTTTCTTGGTACCAGAGCCCTAAACTGTGGGAAGATTTCTGTCTAAGTGAAAAGCAAATCCTCACTCCCTTTCTGTGCGGCTGGGGTTCTGTGGCTTGTGAACCACTGTGAAGCAACCGTAACTGTCTGGATAGAAATTTGAGAAAGATTTCTCAAAACAAAACAACATCAAAACTCCAAATCAACACATTTTGAGTTAACCAATAGGAGTCTATCTTCAATTTTTCTTGTTACTAAATTGTGTTTGATGGTAGGGTCATGGCAGCTTCTTGACCTTGTAGATTGTGGATCAGAGCAATGGGAGCCTGGATCTCTAAACTGCCCCACTGGGCTTATTTTCTATAGAAAAACATGTCCGTTTAGTTTGTTAGGACACTGCTTTGTATTCGTTTTTAAACAAATTACCAGAGACATTAGATATAACAGATACAGTCTCGTGTTGAACAGAGTCTATTGGTGCACAAGACAGGAAGCTGTGTGAAAGAGAACTTGCAGTCATTTTTGCTAAGGTCAGAAGGTCTTGAGAAAACTATAGGTGTTTTACTGGAAGCCTGGATACCTTGGCTACACAGGGGAAAAGGTTTGGGGAACCCATTGCTTTCTACATCTTCAGACTGACCATGTCTCCAGTGGACTATACTTTCGTGAAGCATTTTAAGAAACTTTATTATTATTTGAAAGTATGTGAATGTGTCTCTGTGCATGTGTGTGTCTATGTGTGTGTGTGTATGTCTGTGTGCGTGGTCTGTGCATCTGTGTGTGTGTGTGTGTCTGTGTCTGTGTGCATGGTCTGTGCATCTGTATGTGTGTGTGTGTGTGTGGGGGGGGCTCTTCTGGTAGACCAGTACATGATCTTAACCCCTGAGCCATTTCTCCAGCCTGAATTTTTACTTTTGGACACTGTTTATATATTTGTTTGTTTTCCAGTATGAAGGTTTATGAGGATTGTAGTGGTTTGGATGAGAATGTCCCTTGTAGCCTCAGGCATGTAAACTCTTGGTCCCCAGTTGGTGGCCAGTACTGTTCTGGAAAAGTTTAGGAGATACAGCCGTGGTAGAGAAAGTATTGTCACTGGTGATGGACTCTGTGAACTCAAGGCCACACATACTCACGCTTTGTCCTCTCTGTTTTGTCCTTGTGGTTCACGAGGTGACCTCTCAGCACTCTGCTCTAGCCGCCAGGCCTCCTGCTTCCTGCTATGCCTTTCTGCCATGATGGGCACTTATTCCTCTGGAACCATAAGCTCAAATAAACCCTTCCTTCTATCAGAGGCCTTGATAATGGGGTTTCTCAGATCAACAAATAGGATAGGAGGCAGGGCCTCTCTGAAGCTAAGTTAGTACTTTACGCATCATAAAGAATCAAGGTCTGATAGTTTGTACATCAGCCTGTGATGGGTTGGAAATGGAGAAAGGAAAGAGAACGAGGAAAATGTTAAAATAATATATTAGGCACTTGAGTGGAGACTTGAGGAGGAGAATAAGATATCAACAATGCTTGCAGGGAGAGCAAGAACCATTAAACATGGGGCTGGAGAGATGCTCAGTGGTTAAGAACACTGACCACTCTTCCAGAGGACCCAGCTTCAATTTGCAACCCCCACATGGCAGCTCACAACTGTCTGTAACTCTGACACCCTCACACAGACATAATGCAGGCAAAACACCTATGCAAATAAAATAAAATAAAATAAATAAATCATTAAAAAAATTAAACTAGAATGTGAGCTAGGTATGTTTTTCTTTTCTTTTCTCTCTCTCTTTCTTTCTTTCTTTCTTTGTTTGTTTGTTTCTTTCTTTCTTTTTGTTTTTGTGGGAGGATTGTTTTGTCTGGGTGTATGTCTGTGAGCCATATGTGTTCTTGCTGCCCACAGAGGCCAGCAGAGAGTGTTGGGTCACTTGGGACTGGAGGTACAGACTGTAACTGTGAGCCACCATATGGGTACTAGAAATCAAACCTGGTCCTTTGAAAGAGCAGCCCCTGGTTCTTGCCCACCAGATCATCTTCCAGCCCCGTGGTAAGGTTTTAGAAATCAAAGAACTCCTATATTTTAAAAGCAAGGAGCTGTCAATGTCCAGAACACCAGCTTCCACACGAGGAAGTATTCTGTGTTGATCGACACCTCCGCTCAGGCTACTTGAACTGCTAAAGACAATCACGTGACTTGCTCATTAGTGCACTTAAGTTTCAGTAGGCAGTGGAAACACAATAACTATATGGACTACATGTCCCAGTGCTACACGTGGATGAGGTCCAGTTCTGTGATTCAAATTGCCCATGATAATCCTTCCTGACATACAGTTTCATTGCCAAGAGAATGCTATAGTCAATTTTATCTTATTAACAATAAATTAATTGAGACAGGATCTTGCTATGATTGGCTTGGGATTTGCTAGGTGGACTAGATTGGCCTCCAACTCTCTGTGATCCTCACATCTTTGGTCCTCAAGTTCTGGCATCAGGCATGTGCTGGAAATCTGATCTAAAAGCTGAAATTTCTGGCAGGAAAAGAGAAAGGATGTTTACCTTTGCATCAAAAATACAAAGGCATTTTTTTAAAAAATGAAAATGTGTAAATTTTATGTAAAAATCTAGTCAGTGCTTGGAAGTGCATGTGATACCTTGGAGGACAGAATTATAGTCGGGTTTCCTGAAGTAAGAGCTGCAGTTGAGAACAAGCATAAGCTCCTGGGTTTTTACTGGCGAGAACCCATGCCCCTCAACTGCGCCTTCAGAAAGGGTGGGAGCTTGTCATTAAAGTCATGTGCTGCCCCCCAGTGGAAAGACTTCGCAGTGCACAGAGAACAGAAGGCTATAGGTTCTGTATGCTTTTTAAAAGCCTTTTAACAGGTATTTAGTGCTACAATGTGTCAGAGTCAAGAGCCATGATAAAACAAAAGGAAGACTCCTGTGTTCTAGAAACATGATGTACAGAGTAATGTAAAGTACACACAGAAACTTCTTCACTGGGGACTAAGAGTCTTTTTTTTTTCTTTTCTGATTATGTTTAAGACCCAAAGCAGGCCAATTCTTTTTCTAGCAATAAATGGTGTTTCTTGTTCGGAAACATTAATTTTGTGGTATTTTATCCCATTTAGTCCATCTTTATAGAAAGAGAAAGGTTATAGTGGAAACAGAAGTTGGAATTTTTCATAAATTAGAGAAATAAGAGAACAGCAGGGGTACAGTCTCATGGGACGTATTTTTCAAGGAGTGGTTTTGAAGGACAAAGACTACACCTACCTCCCGTGCAAAGCCTAGCCCTGGCCAGATGGAAGGAAATCTAGAGAGGTGACGGACAGGACAGAACCACCATGAGTGTGGGCGAAAGGCTAGGGCAGGATCCTGAAGCTGTGGGCCAGTACTCATCTGAGAGGAAGGGAGGTGAATAGATGATGGAGTTCTCCTGCAGGCCCTGGATGCGGCATAGTTTCAAAGTCACGCTGCAATCATGAGCCAGCAGTGGTTCTGGGAGCCACCTCACTGTGAAGTCATCAATGAGGGGTGTGGCCATCACAGATGTCCCATGCAGAGGACACAATTGCTCTCCTCTCTTCTCAGTCTTCTTTCTTTCCTCTCCCTCCTTTTTCATCTTTGGAAGAGATGCAAACCTATTTTAAGAAGGAGGCTAAACTAAAGCTTGCTTTGTACTAAGCACTCAGAGAAACACTTTCTATAAGTTGTAAATTCATCTTACAAGTCACCCTGGGCTTAAGGCATGCACAGACTCGTGAGTCCAGTTTGTTTGGAAGCAAAAGGACATACTTGCCCAAGAACTCACATAATACAATAATAATGTTCATGCACTGATCAAAATAGCTACTGAATGACAGTTTTGTGCCCAGGTCTGTCTTTGAGATGTCCTACTGGGAGATACAAAAGGCAACCAAGCTTCTTGTGTCTATAGAACTTACATTTTATTATTTTACTTTATTATCGTTGCCCATATGATGTGTGTGCTGAATAGCCAGATCCATTTTTATTCTCACTGGCCTCAGCATTGTCTGGTGTCCTCTCTCTCAGTGTTTTGCTATCAGGACAGGTGCAGAAGGGCACCTTGTTCTCAGTTACACATCTCTGGTTTCCATGTGCTTTGGGCATCTCTTCCTGCTCTCCTTGTGCTCTTTGGGTTTTCCTCTGAACACCGCTGTGTCCTTTGACTCTGTTTAAAACTGGCTTCCTTTTTTATTGTTAGCACACAACTCTATATAAACCAACTCTAACAGGCTACTACTCTGTTACTATAGAGTTTGTTAAAATATGACATTGTGTTGAAGTTTTATTTATGAGAAACATTTTAGTTTTCCTGTGGTTTACGTATTTTTGCTGGGATTTCCTTTAAGATAATTTTCTACTAGGTTAGGAAGTGGAGAACTAGAATCCAAACACTCAGGAGGCTGAAGTGGATTGGGGATTCCAGGAAGCACGGGTGTGGGGGGGGGGAGGGCAGGGGAATGGGCGTCCTTCCAGAACAGAGAGGTTCTCCTAGGCTTTCTTATGTGTGCTTTATAGCTTTCCTTTCTCCACCTTCCATCTGGAGTACATCTGTGTAAGTGGTACAAGGTACCAGATCAGCTTCATCTCCCTCCTTGCAGTGAGAGAGTCTTCTCCTAAAACAATGTCAGACACAAGAACCCAACCCCTCCAACATCCAAGGCCATGGTGATGCATGCCTCTTCTCTCAAAGCTAAGAAGGCAGAGAGATGTGAGGATCACCGCAAATATGAGGTCAGCCTGGTCCAAATAGCGCCTTACAGGCTAGCCTGCCTTAAATCTTCTATCGTTTCCCCATTTATAAATTGGGGTCAAATAGGATCTTCTCTGTTTAATCCATGGTTTCCCACCAAAGGCACAGGGAGGCCGTTGTGTTTCACTGAGAAACATGGCATTCCAGCTTCTCCAAGTCTCCCTTTCTCTGGGGTGAAGCTGTTTCTCAGCTTGATGCAGAAGGCGTTATGCCACACACTCCCCCTTTGGTTTTCTATCTTCCAGCGTTTTCCCTCAGGGGGAAAAAAAAAGATAGCCTGACCTCACTTCTGATGTGAAGGTTCATGGGTTGTAATCGTAGAATAAATTCATTCCATGTAAAATTACTTGCTCACTGTCTGCCCAAGGAGGCTCCTACAAAGCCCACGGGGGCCATGCTTTCCAATTTGTACTTTCACAGAAATACCTAGCTGCTATGGAGCCATTCCCACGTGATTCTCAGCTCACTGGAAAGGCAAAGGTCTCTCTGTTCGATCCCTTTGCTACTTATCTATGCCTGATGTGTGTGGTACAATAGCGGACATGTGCTAGAGGCTCCCTGTATCTTGGATAAATAACTGAAGGAAGTCAGTGCAGTGTGGCTGACCTGCTATGCTAGATACCATCAATGCATTTGGGGGGAGACTGTGGGAGCCACACAGTTTTTGTTCCATGAATCATGGGAACTGAGGTTTGAGGCGAGAGAAAAACTCTGGAGTTTCCAACATTCATCCAAGCCTACAGTAGAACTACCGGCTTCTGAACAAGGATACCTGGATAGCATATCACACTAGCTACAGAAGGTAACTTGACCGCAGGGTTTCCATTTTCACCGTAGGGATAGGAGATGAGAACACACGCTCAAACGCTCTGCACTGTCTGCCGGAGGGTGAGTCTCCAGCGAGTAAACCACATTGTGAATGTCTGCCTGGACTTAGGAGTAGGAAACACAAGGTTCTGATGAACAAAGGGGACCGGGGCATTCATGTAAATTATGCACCGATTACCACTTTCTGCGCAATGAATATATTTGGCTAATCAACATCTTTTTTGCTATTTGCTAGCTCTGTGGTTTTAGAGTCTCAACTTACTTGAGCCGCCGTTTCTTTATCTGAAAAAGGGGATGGTGCCCGCACCTGTTTCATAGAGGAGACATTGACAAACCTTTCTGGAAGAGGCCAAAGAGTGGGAGCTTTGGGGTTTGTGGGCCTTAAGCTTTGTGTTGCTGTGCCTTGTCTCTGTTGTTGTGGTCCCTAAGCCGCTGGAGACACTGCATTGAGGAGGCAAGCCATGATCTAAAAACTGGATTTTTGAAACCTGGAATTTGGGTTTCTATCAATATTTGCATGCCACAAAACGGTGCCCCTTTAGATTTTGACTTTAGCTATGGAGTAAGCACTCCTAGCTAGGAAACCATACCCAGCCTTGTTTCAGACTGCACTTGGTCCTTGGCCATTGCTTTCCAGCCTGTGATAAAGCTTCCTGGAAGCAGACCTGGGGCTGATGATAAGGGCTCGATAAATGTTTGCTGGTATTTCTCTTCTTATAAATTGTCTACACAAAGAGCCAAGTTCAGATTTCCCAATAGGGTGGATGACAGCTGTTCATGGAAAGTCACATGCCAGCATGTGTTTTAGGGGGGTAGAAAGAGGGGGCCCAGCTTAGGTATTTAATCAGCTTCCTGAAGAGGAGGAAAGAAAAGGAAAGAAGGCAGAAAGAAGAAGAGCATTTCATACAAGGAGTGGGGTTCCAGCCAGCAGTGGCTGGAGCCGGATAGAGCCCTGAAGGAGAGCAGGGTATGGCCAGAGGGCAGCATGCAGGCCGGAGCGGGGATGATGGTGTTGTGAGAACTGGCAGGCATCTGTGGCCCCTTGAGACATACTCTGGCTTTGGGACTGCATCCTTGACCCGAGGGTCTCAGATACTTAACAGAAATATATCAAGAATGAGGGAGGCCAAATAGGATCAATGCAGGAGACTAAATGAGATGATGTTCAGGTCCTGAGCGCCCTTCAGGAGATGATTATAATACTGACATTTAGATTTTGAAAAAATGGTTTCAAAATAATTTTCAAGAAAAAGGTGTATCATTTTCAGACTCATTGTTAGTGTCAAATCATGTCTCTACATGAGGGCCACTAAGATTTCATAATCTTTCTACCAGCTGAAGACTCGTATGAAAGAGAATCACCAATATCATAAGAACTGTGGTTTGTAAAGAGCAAACCAGGGCAATGAGTTGGCTCGGTGACTAAATGCCCTTAGCGATATATATGATGACCCGAGCGGGGTTCCAAAACACTTATGGTGGAAGGAGAGAATGACATCTTGAATGCTGTCCCTTGACTACCATGTACATGTCATGGTATGCCAACTCCCTGCTCCCAAGTAAATAATTATCAACAAGTCTCTTTAGACAACTTTCAGTGTATGAGGGAGAGCGAATTTGGTCTTTGAAAAAGGTTACGCTTTTAAAGCCATCCTATCAAATTCATAAGTAGTCTTGATAAACAAGCAAACTGCATATAGGTGGCAATTATTTTTAAGCATATTTAAAAAAGAGCATGTGACTGCCTTGGTGACTTGGGTCTGTAGCACCAACAGCTTGGGTGATGGAGCAGGGAATGGAATATTTAAAGCCTACTGTTGGAACAGAGAGAACCTACGGCCATTCTGGACAACTTAGCAACCCTGTCTCACACTAAAGCATAAAAGAGGGCTGGGGTGTAGCTCAGTGGCAGTACGCTTACCTAGTGTGCAAGAGACCCTGGGGCTAATCACCAGTGCCCGGCCCTCAGTTGACAGAGAGTGTTCACGGGAGAATGCTGGCACAGCTGAGGATCAGAAGCAGGAACTGATCCCTGCAGCGCCCGCCCCTCCTTCTGACTCAGGCTGGGGTTGCGCTTCTGTTTTCCTCAGCTTTCCGTATGCGAAAGAGGGAGATTGTATTTGCAGCCTACGAACGTGTAGGCCTGAAAGGGGAATGGTAAATAACTATGGGTGTAAATGGAATCACTCTGGCGACCAAGAGCTTCAGTTTCCACAACCCGCATTCATTCTGGTCTGTTCTGAAAAGCGTTAGTGCTTCCCAGCCATGGCGTTAACATGGGGTGTCCTGGAAGTTGATTGACCACAGTCTCAGGTAATCTGTTTCATCTCCTTGCCAGTAGTGGTCAAAATGGAATGCCTTGGGAATATTCAAGATGGATTCATTTTTTTTAGGAATGCAAATGCTACAAAAGAGCCAAAAGGTATTTATGACCTTTAGCTCACTAACTATACTGTTGAAAACCAAGTAGAGAATTATTATACAGTGCAAAAAGAAAAAGGAAACAATTTGAAAATGTTTAATAGCTGGAGAATGATTACCTGATCCTGATCACAAATTCATAAAATATTATGTAGCCATTTAGGAGGATGTGGACAAAGACTGAAAACAGTACAACGTTTATATTAAATAGTTGCTTTGTATAGGTACCTACAACTACAAGATGAGCAAACTGTGAAGTTTTATAACCTTGAGGGGAATTTAAGGGACTTGTAAGGCCAGCTGGAGCTGGTCTGCAGCATAGGTGGGTTTTTTTTGTTTTGGTTTGTTTTTTGCAAGGCAAGAGGCAGTTTTCAAAGCCGTAAACGTGCTGCTAGGATCAATGTAAGCCTCCTCTCCCATCTTAAATATGGCCCCAAAGACCAAGGGAGCACTGTGCTTGTCT